GGGAACCCCAATAGATATCGACATTACAACTAAAGAAATGGGTACGAAAAGACGAATTAACATTCGTGGCTACTATGAAGATAGAGCCACTCGACGAGAAGACCATTCATGAACCTGCTATGGTGACGAACGTCCTGAAGGAGTTCACAGACGTTATGCCACCCGAGTTGCCGAAGACTTTACCGTCATGCAGAGGCGTGGATCGTCACATCGAGCTGGAGCCAGGAGTGAAGCTTCCAGCGAGACTACCCTGCCGCATGCCCTCTCCAGAGTTGGCAGAGCTCAGAAAACAGTTAGGTGAACTGCTAAGCGGTGGTCTCATCCGCAGTTCTAAAGCACGCTTCGGAACTCCAGTTCTCTTCCAAAAGAAACAAGATGAGAGCCTTCGACTATGCATTGATTATCGAGCCCTCAACAAAGTGACGGTGAAGAACAAGTATCCCATCTCGCTCATCGTGGACTTGTTCGACCAATTGGGCAAAACCAAGTATTTCTCCAAACTTGACCTCCGGTCGGGGTACTGGCAGGTGCGCATTGCTGAAGGCGGCGAAGCGAAAACTACTTGTGTGACCAGGTATGGAGCGTTTGAGTTCTTGGTGATGCCTTTCGGCTTAACCAATGCTCCGGCCATATTCTGCACTCTTATGAACCAACTATTTAAGGAGTATTTGGATAAGTTTGTGGTCGTCTACTTGGACGATATCGTCGTCTACAACTAAACGCTCGAGGAGCATGTCGAGCACCTTCGGACAATTTTCAAGGTTCTCAAGGAGAACACTTTGTTCGTGAAAAGGGAGAAGTGCTATTTTGTTCAAACGAATATCATATTCTTGGGGCATCGAATTGGTGATGTCTCCATTCGGATGGACAAATCGAAGGTGCAAGCTGTTGCGGAATGGCGAACTCCAAAGAAGGTGCCGGAGTTGAGATCCTTCCTTGGTTTCGTCAACTACTATCGACGCTTCATAGCGGGGTATTCGAAGCGTGCAACTCCACTGACGGAGTTGCTGAAGGAGTAGCCTTGGAGGTGATCTAATAAATGTGAAGCTGCATTCCAAGATCTGAAGGCTGTTGTGTTGGAAGAACTGGTGCTCAAATTGTCGAACTATGGGGAGCTCTTCGAAGTCCATACATATGCTTCTGACTTCGCTATTGGGGGAGTACTCATGCAGGAGGTGGCCTATGAGAGTCGTAAGCTCAACGAGATTGAGCGGCGGTATCCGGTGCATGAGAAGGAGATGACAGCTGTGGTCCACTGTCTACAAGTTTGGCGGCACTACCTTCTTGAATCGCGATTTGTGCTGAGGACAGACAACGTCGCTTTGAGCTATTTTCAAACTAAGAAGAAACTCTCCCCAAAGCAAGCACGATGACATGACTTCCTTGCTGAGTTTGATATGACAATGGAGTACAAGCCCGGAAAGGCAAATGTCGTGGTCGATGCATTAAGCCGGAAAGTGGAGCGAGTGAATGCCGTACAGTTGGAGGGCAGAGGCCAAGCAAGTCAGTTGCACTCCAACTTCATTTCCAGGATCAAGGATGGACTATACAATGATCCCCAGGCAGTAACCCTGATGCAGCTCATCAAAGAAGGCAAGACACGACGATTTTGGGTCCATGAGGGACTCGTGTACACAAAAGGGAATAGGGTTTATGTTCCTCAAGTGGACAATTTGAGGCGTGAGCTCTTAAGAGAGTGTCACGATTCTCTTTGGGTTGGACATCCGGGTATTCACAGAACCTTGGCTCTTGTGGAGAGGGCCTTCTACTGGCCGAAGATGGGGACTGATGCGGAGGAATATGTTCGAACGTGCCTCACTTGCCAACAAGACAAGGTGGAGCAGCGGAAGCCGGTGGGACTTTTGGAGCCGTTGCCCGTACCAGAAAGGTTGTGGGAGAGCATTTCCTTGGACTTCATATCAAGCTTGCCGGCAGTAAGGGGACTCAGATCGATACTCATGGTGATCGATCGATTTTCAAAGTATGTAACCTTCATTGCTGCACCCCTACACTATTTAGCTGATGAGGCGGCCAAGCTGATGATGAAGAATGTGGTGAAGTATTGGGGAGTCCCGCACAATATCATCAGTGATCGAGACGCTTGGTTCCTAGGACGATTCTAGACCAAGCTATTCAAATTGTTAGGGTCTAAGTTATACTTCTCCACAAGCCTCCACCCCCAGACGGATGGCCAAATCGAAAGGATAAACTCGCTTCTGGAGCAATATCTTCGGCACTACGTGAGTGCCAACCAATGAGATTTGGGTGAAGCTGTTGGACATAGCCCAATTCTCCTACAATTTGCAGCGGAGCTTTGTGTCCAATAAGAGCCCCTTCGAGATCATTACAGGACAACAACCATCAACTCCTCACACTATAGCAATTGGGTATACTAGGAGTAGTCCGTTAGCCTACCACTTTGCAAAGGAGTGGCACCGAAACGCAGACATTACACGGGCTTACTTGGAGAGGGCGGCCAAAAGGATGAAGAAGTGGGCAGACTTGGGAAAGCGACTGTAGGAGTTCAAGGTCGACGATTTGGTGTTGGTAAAGCTCCAACCAGCATCACTCCAATTCTTTAGGAACAAAGTACACGAAGGATTGGTGCGCAAGTATGAAGGGCCCTTCCCAATTATCAGTAGGGTGGGCAACGCCTCCTACAAGTTGCAGCTGTCGGCATGGCTCAAAATTCATAATGTTTTTCACACCAGCAACTTGAAAGCCTACTACTCAGATCCGCAAGATGCTTCCCGAAGTGTTTCAACTCGGCTACCCCCCACCAGAGCCTCCTACGAGAAGCGAGTGGAAACCATTTTAGCGGATCGCAAGATAAAGCTACCCACTAGAGTTGAGCAGACCGAGTACTTGGTGAAGTAGCGAAAGCTTCCCCAAATCGAAGCCACTTGGGAGCTCGAAGACGTCCTACGACATGAAGAAGCAATCATCAACAACTACCAACAAGCGTCGACGAGGGCGTCGATAGTTTAAGTGGGGGAGAATGTCACGAACGGTCGTCGCGCACTCACAACAACTTCGTTCAATGAATCGTTCGTCGCTTTTGTTTACATGTACAGATGCTTGACAGCATGTTTTGGCTTGGTTTTATGTTCTTTTGCTTGTAAAAAATGTAAGTTCGAACAAGTTGCAGAGCTACAGTGCGATCACTCATTGCACCAAGCAAAACAACCCAAAATGGCTCTGTTTTCGCGTGCCACGGGCTGTTTTCTGCAGCTTGCTGCTGCATGCGAAATGTCAGCCATCTCAGCACCTTGGAACCACTCGGGTGGCACCATGGGGGATGGGGCTTCGGTATAGTGTCGAGCGTTGAACAATCTTTTACAAGTTTGCACGTTAACTTGACGAGAATTTGTCTTCGCACCCGGCACCCGGTGAGCAGCTATTTGTGAACTTGCAACTGTTCATTCAACCTTCTAAAGTCTTATTTTTCCTCCTTTCTCTCTTTTCTCTTATGCACACAAGGTGCTTTCTGAATTGCTTGTAAAGCTTCCCCTTTCGCGAGACGTCGAGACTTGTTCGTCGCTTGTTCTTCGAACTAATCAACTTTCTCTTTTACAAGTCCTTCGGGACCCGAGTGAGGTTGCAAATTGGCTGACCTTTGCGGATGCATATCGCAAGGGCGCGTCATGACTTAGGCAATCCTAGCTAAAGTCCGAGAAGTTGGCTCAAGGGCGCTTCGCGACTTAGGCAACTTAAGCTAAGTTAGTGTCTTGGCCGCAAGGGTGCCTCATGACTTAGGCAATTCCAGCTAAGTCCGTGACAGCACGCTCGATGTAGTCGTTGGCAACGGTTGTGGTTGCTATCCATTAACTTTGGTCGTTCTTTATCCAATTTTTTGGGAAGAGTTCCGAGTGAACCTTCCAACTTTGCTCCTTAATGTGACAGTGGTCATAGAAAAGGTCACTTCTCTATGAAGAAGAAGAATTCTTATTGTTCCTCGAATTTTCCTTGTCCTTCGATTAGGCCCCTTTGTCCTTCTTCACAGTCTTCTCGCTACAATTCTATTCTTCCTTTCGATTGCCATGACTATCCCACTAGCACTCAAGATATCATACGCCTAGAAAAGGCTCAGTTTGGTACTGATTAGAATATGCAAACCAGCAATATATTTCATGACCGTCGAGTGCTTGTTGAGAGAAATCTCGAGTGCCACCGCTTGTCATCGGAACTTGGTGGTGTAATCTTGCATCGATTGTTCTTGTCCTTGGTGCAAGTAATGCCATCTTTTCCACTAATATTCATGATAGGCCATCGGGTAAAAGTTGTGATGGATGAGCCTTCTAAAGGGTTCCCATGTCACCTCTTCATCGTTGTAGGATCGTAGGTGTTCCACCATTCTAGAGCATGGTGTGCTACAATTGGAGCTGATGTTGGTCTAGTCACAACTTGATTCGAAGCTTGAGATTGGGCTTGCATTGGATTCAGCCAGAGTGGAGTTGAATCAAAATTCAACTTGAACTCGGTTGAGCTGAATTGGACTTTGATCGAAACTTGGTTTGAGCTGAACATGAGTCAAGCTTAAACTATGTTTGTTCTAGTCCTTGAGCTTGGATTCGATCGTGAGCTTGGTTCGGTTGGATTAGGATCTATGATTCTATTTGGATTTTGACTCGAACTCTGGCTGAGCCTGGTTGAGTCGAATTGGAGATCGACTTGAACTTGGCTTGATCGTCCCAGATCAGATAATACAGAGGTTAAATATTGTTGCATTGTCTGAGGGAACATCAGAATAGATTTTCTTTGTCTACTCTTGTGGATCATATGTTTTTTAAGAAGTATGATGTGAAAACAAAATAGTGTTACATGAAGCTTTGCTAAACTTTTCTACGATTGAGAAGATGGTATTATTTTAGCAGCATGGATGACATGACTGTGTTGGATTTCTCGTGGTTTTGGGTTTCAATTGCTGAAATTCCAACACAATTGCTGAAATTCCATAACTTCTGGAATTCTCATTTATCTACTTGTTCATCATTTTGCAGGGGAGGTTTGATGACATACAAGCAGTTCATTCAAGAACTCGAAGATGATATTTCACCCACTGAAGCTGAGTACAGGTACATGTATTAGGGATACTAGGTATCACTTCAAAGAGTTAGTTTGTGATAAGCATTGTTGACCGTGCCACTTAACTTGTATCGGATTAGAATACTTGCCAATTCTGCTAGTTGTTTAGCTAGTATGGATGTTCAATCCAAGTTTTGATCATGTAGGTATGAAGAATACAGATCGGAATACATTTCCACTCAGAAGCGTGCTTATTTTGAAGCTCATAAAGAAAAACAATGGTACATGGTGCTTACATTATTCCATTTTTTATTATATTTTCATATGGAAGTTATGTAATATGATTGAAAACTTTTTACATGACTGCCTCCTGGTGTAGGTTGAAAGACAAATATCATCCAACTAACTTAGTGGCAGTCATTGAAAGGTGAGTTTCAGTGTATGCAACAACATAGACATGTTTTTAGAAGACTATTGGTAATTGTACGTTGAATATGATTTTCACTGTCTTTTACTTGAGGATTTCCTCCCTTTTTCCCTGTTTCAACCAGACAAGCTTTATTGTTTGTCTCTTCTTCATATGGTCAGGCTAGTTTGGTTTCATTTTTATATTTGTGCTTCTTCATTAGATTATTATCTTCACACTTCTAGTGCTATCATTATGTGTTGCATGCTTCACAGGAGGAAAGAACAGGCCAGGACTCTTGCAAAGGAATTCTTGCTTGATTTACAGAGTGGGACACTTGACCTGTAAGAGTTTCTTCTTAGACCTCATATGGGCTTTCCTAAGGTTTATGTTCCCTTGACTTGCGTTTTCCCTGCTCGTATCATCAGTGGACCAGGATTAACATCTTCTTCAGCTAGCAAGTCTGGGAATGGTAGTGAACCAAACTCTGAAGATGAGGCGGGCCCTGGTGGCAAAAGGAGAAGGCATGGTAGGGGGACAGAGAAAGAAAATGATCTGCTTTCTGCCACTCCCAAGGTTCACCCAGTTAGTTCTGAACCTCGACGAATTCAAGTTGACATTGAACAAGCACAAGCCTTGGTCCGTAAGCTTGACATGGAGAAGGGTATTGAGGACAATGTCCTTTCCAGTAGTGGTCATGGTAAGTTGGAAGTGGAGAAGTCTCATGGAGGCTCCATGGGGCCAATTGTAATTATACGTGGCCTGAATGCTATCAAGGGCCTTGAAGGTGTCGAACTGTTAGATACTTTGATTACCTACCTGTGGCGTGTCCATGGCTTGGATTACTACGGCATGTCTGAGTCATCTGAAGCCAAGGGTCTTCGGCATGTTAGAGCTGACAATAAGACACATGATGGAACTGATGCTAGTGGATCTGATTGGGAGAAGAAACTTGATTCATTCTGGCAAGCAAGACTGGAAGGTCAGGATCCCTTGGAAACATTGACAGCCAAAGATAAGATTGATGCAGCAGCTACCGAGGCTCTAGATCCTCTTGTGAGGAAAATACGAGATGAAAAATATGGTTGGAAGTACGGATGTGGAGCAAAGGGTTGCACAAAGCTTTTCCACGCTCCTGAGTTTGTTCATAAGCATCTCAGGCTGAAACACCTAGACCTCGTAATGGAGCTCACCTCAAAAGTTCGAGAAGATCTGTATTTTCAGAATTATATGAAGTAAGAATTTAGCATATCTGGTGTCCCAAAATTAGTGGCTACATTGAGAGAACCACTGACTTCTTTCTAATGCAGTGATCCAAATGCACCTGGTGGGACTCCTGTCATGCAGCAATCTGCATCAGTATGACTTCTTTCTGTAGTGTTAAGCATATTGTTTTTGCCTTGTGATTATGTTGTATTATTTTTTTCACTTTTGTGTTCTTTTACTAAAGGTTCGCAATATCGTACCGTACCGGTATTTCGACCTGGGCTCGGTACCGGTATGGTACGGTATACCGAGCGGTACACCCAGGTGTGTCGAGTACTGTAGCACTGCTACAGTGTTACGGTGCACTCGGACCGGTAACAGGTGGTCCGCGTACCGGCAACCGGTCGGACCGGTACGTACCGCCCATACCGAGCGGTACAGTTCGGTACTGCAGACCCTGCTTTTACTTTGAACCCAAAGCACATTTACAACTTTCTAGTCAAGGTTTTAATTGTTGGTGTCAATCAATTAAAAAAAAATGATGAGAAAGAGGTTTCATCCATAGAGTTATTATAAAAAAATTAAAATAAAATAAGAAATCAATAAGGAATAGTTAAAGAATGCAATGGAACAATAATTAATTAAACTCCTTCCATTGTCCCGATTTGTAAAATTGTACCTTTATGCAAATGGATTTATCTAAACATGTTGATATAAGCTGAAAATGCTGATTGATGATAATGATAGGTAAAAGAGGAGGCAAGAGGTTGGTCTAATATTTCTTTGATTATTCTCTAAGTTGCCTGATGTTTGAATGAGTGGTTCTTTCCTTCCAATATTATTTTATAAATCTCTGGAATATGGAAGTTTGTGAGATGGGTTTACTCCCGTTGGACATCTCAGCATGCATAAATTTGTAAACTATCTTAGCAACTAGTTATAGAAACAGAAAATCGATAAACTAAAAAGAGCAATTAAAAAAATATGCAACAGTTTTGGTGATCTTTGTTGGGAACTGATGTCTATCTAATGCTAGTTAAGGCTCTGGATTTGATGTGTATTCTAATTTTAGTCATTGGTATATCCGTATTGTCTAACAATATTTCGTCTTATTGTACACTCATTTTGTCTAAAACTTGTCATGTAGCTGAAATTGCAGAAATTTGTTTTATAATTTAATGAACTTATTGGAAATTTGTTTTGTGCAAAAGTGCTTTTAAGGGAGGACTAGGGATGTGAATTGTTTAATTGGATTTAATTTGGTTCTTCTGTTTAAAATTTTATTTGATCCATTTTTTTAACTTTTAATTTTGATGTTCTTTTATAGAAACTTCTTCTACTTTAGATTAATATTGCATTCTTATACATAAACAATCACTTGGATATGAACTTTCAAATATGTGATTCTGTGATCTTGAAATTTATTATTTTATTAGTTACACTTTCCATGTGCAGAAGGTGAAAATGCAGAAGAAACGACTGTTAGACGGCCGCCTTAGAGATGAACGTGGCAACCGCAGAGAGCCCAACAGGAACGATGGAGATGATGACCGGCATGATAGGACTGACAACTCACCTCGTGATGCCAATGATGGATCCGAAGTGGAGAATCATGACAAACCTCTGTATGATGCTTATGGTGGACAAGGCTTGCATGGTGCTTTTCCCTCAGATATTCCTCCTCCACCAGTGTTAATGCCTGTTCCTGGTGCTGGGTGAGTCGGTGGTTCCCAGAGTTCAAATCGAATTATTACCTCTATTAATCTTGTCTAAAATTTAATTATTACATATTAGCCCGTTGGGACCTTTTGTCCCTGCCCCACCAGAGGTTGCCATGCGTATGTTGAGGGACACTAGTGGACCATCATCGTTTGAAGCTACTGGTGGCCGTCGGGGTATCAAAGGAAGGCTTGGTCCGCAAGTGAGTGGTTCAGCGCCAGTTCTTGCTATGCCGCCAGCATTTCGACATGATCCTCGTCGCATAAGAAGGTCTGTGCCATTCTTGCATCAGTTTGTATGTTTTTTACTAGAACTAATGTACTTTTGCACTTTGTTATTTCTGAACTTTTGGACATGATTTAGTTTTCGTGGTCGTGCCACCATTATGTGCTGCTGGATTCTGTCTATCTTGTCGATGTGTTTTTAACTGGTCATCTTTGATTTGCAGTTATCAAGATCTTGATGCTCCAGAAGATGAAGTGACTGTTATAGACTATAGAAGTTTATAGGCTGCTCATATCCTGCTCATCCTTTGGAATGATATTTGTTCTGTGACCAGACAGTTCACTCCTTTTGTTCAATGAAGGATGACTAATTTCCTCGAAGGAGCATGTCACATTTTTGTAATATAGTCACACCTCCATTGAATTCATCGGTAATGTTCTCATTTATGGCCAGAAGGGAAGATTCAATAAAAACATATACTATTTATGCTATGCCATCAGACACTCTGCTTATTACTGCACTGTGATAATGATAGAGTATGCTAACACCTTTAAGTGGCTCAGCATATTTAATTGACATCTTTATCGTGAGCATGCATTTCTTTATGTAAGTTCTCTATAAATTTCCTATGCCTGTTGCCATGTTTAAATGGTTGCAGCTATCTCAAGGATGAGGTGTTATGACGTTCCTCCGTGGATCGTCAACTCAAAGCTTGCTGTAAAGATTGGTGTCTTTCATGCCGAATGGTAAACTTTCCTCTTCTGCAAATTTACTTGTTGCTATTCAATTGAAAGGACAGATAATTGCAGATAAAATGATGCAGAATTCAGCTGATCGGCAGTTCTGGTCATTGAGTCGTACCTTGGTGGAATCTCAAGAGTTTTGGTTTCCATTCGGTCATGCAAAGTTGATAAAAAGATGTATTTACAAGCTAAACACTAACTGCATGTGAAACCACTTGAGTTCTGGTTTCTGTAGATGAAGCATGGAGGCAAAGTAGTCGGATTATGGAAGCAAATCATGCTTCCATATATATATATATATTGAAGAAAATAAAAATTGAAGAATGGGGGAGTCTGTGGGCTGATGCCCTCGGGCCCACATATGCCTCGAACCAAGCTCGTAGATTGTCTAAGATATATCATCTTGTCTCAATCTACTTCCCTGCCAATAAATTCAAGCATTCTTTAGCTCTCTTTTTAGAGAATCTTTTATTTTGTCCCTCGTAGTAGTGGTGTGCTATCAGTCTTTAACCCATATTTAACCTTGGAAAGGAATGGCAAACAACTCGTGTTATCAACCAGGCCTCATGGTGTGGTGGAGAACGGGCGAGGGTCTGATCCTCCCTAGCATCTTCTCAGTTCAAAGGTAGCCTGTTCCTGATTTACTCGCTGGTTGTTAGGAAAAATTCTCTTTTAAGTTTATTTCTTCTCTACTAGTGTATTTGCTTAAACTCCATTAATAGACTTAGCTTGATCTAGGGTCACAATTCAAGGTGTCGAATCACATCGTGGTTTGGGATCCTCAAGGCCTTGTCGTGACTTGTTCGAGGTATCTACCATTCATCGTGTTTGGTGATTATTGTAGATGGACCACTCTTTTGCCTGTTAGATTTTATGACATATTATATTATCTTATTTAATTAGGTAAGATATATTATATATATGATTAGATTCTGATTATTGATCAATAGAAAAAAAATATTTAATTATAATAGAATTCCTTACGAGATAACTTTGATGGGAAAGATTCTCATACTTATTATTGACCTCCTAAGGACTTAGTATGGATGTGGATATATGGATATACAGATAAGAGAAGATAAGGATATGTGACATTACTGAGAGTACAGATCTTCTCTCATAGTCACGTAAACCAGTTAACGAAAGATTATAGATCTTCTCTCATCTCTCCGAACTATTCAATGTGAGATTACATATCTTCTCTCATCTCCTATTTATCTCTAAATTTATCGCTCATAACAATCTTGTGAATGATAGGAAGAGAGGAGAATATGAGTCTAGTTTTCCTTACAAATTCGCATCACTATTGCTTTCGGATCTAACTATGATGCATTCACATATCAGATAAAAGTTTTCCGAATGACATTGAAAGGTGCTCATCGTAAAATGGATCTATTATTATTTGATTTTAGATTCTGACATTAAAGTTTTTCACATAATAAAAGCATAAGGATGATTTTTATACGCATAATTGGTATTAGAGTCTAAAATCAAATATTTTATATCTATTTGGTAGCATCAAAAAGTTGTTATTTGATTTTTATTTACGATGTATGAACATTTCATCTGTATTGCTGATCTACTTTTTTATCTAGTCCATCTTATTACCTGCTTGCGGGTAATGTGAGGTTCCTCGTGTTTTATCGATCGATCATTGTTGATGATAATATTGTTAAGAGCGGTGACCTTCGGTGGTCACCAACCCAATCACAAGCAATGGTTGCATATCCAATACAAGCATTATGAGGTGTGACAGCCCTACGATGGTTATGCAACATCGCTACGTGCGACAAGTGAAGCAACGCCATTGCCCATAGCTAATTACAGATTACTCAATGTATTTAGACCTCCTTAGCATCATGCTCCCTAAGCTTAAAAAAATTTATATTAAAATTTCTATAGTTATGAGAGTAAAATATCTACATTTATTTACCATAACATCGTTGATTTTACTAATAGAAACACGAAAACAATGAGCAAAAAATTAATTTCAATATTTCAATTAATGGTGGCAGATGATTGTGAACAACAACGCTGTTGTGGGTCACGGATGGTTGTTGTGGATAAGGAGAGCAGTAGTCAGAGATGAGGGTCGCTCTCAACGCAGTTGCCGCATTTGTATCGACGTCGATACATATGCATAGCGATGTCGTTCTGCATCTACATTGATACTGATATAGATATCGAGCGATGGCATCTGCATTTGTCATTGCCAATGCCAATGTAGATGCTAAGTGACCATTTCGTCGCTCGATAACTACGTCGACATTGATGCAATAAGAGGCCCTTTCGCCACTTTGCCTCTACATCGTTGTCGAGAGGCCTTTTACATTGCATTAGTGGCTCTTTCACCATTTGCCAACTGCGTTGGCGTCCACGCAAATGTAGAGTGACCTTTCTCTTTGGCCACTACTCTCCTCATCCACAGTAGCCACCCATAACCCCCAACGATGCTGTCCTCCGCAACCACCGACACCATCTATCAACGCTAATTGGAACATTAAAATTAATTTTTATCTATTATTTTTATATTTTTATTGATAAAATAAATGATATTAGGATAAATAGATCTAAATATTTTACTTTCATAATTATAAAGATTATAATATAAATTTTTTTAAGTTGAAGGAGTATATATCTCATTTATTGCAGGCTGACAAAATCGAAGTGTCAATTTCAGTTAAGGTCACACATGCTTGAAATCTCCCGACACAAAAGGGATGATGATATTTCAAAAAACAAACAGTAGAACAGTTCATGTGGAGGTATAAAATGAAATTTATTGATCCCCACATATGGCAGTGTAAGTAACTGGTTGAATTGAAACAATCCCAGAATTTAATACAGCCAGAGTATACTTAGAGAAAGATCAAAGATTGCTGTGATGTTATGTGATTTCTCATCCACCTTTCAAGCAAAAGAAAAGGGTGTCACAGTGTATGAGGCTTCCTTCATTTCGAGGTCTGAGGTACTACTGGTGCTAGATACTTCAGGGCTGTAGAATAGAGAGGCTGTTTCCTGAATTCAAATCCATGAAGGTCATGTTTTATTAAGTCAGCCTTATTATTCTTAAACCTTAATTGGTAGAATAAGTCAAGCCTTGTTACTCTTTACACCAAGACAAGAATGATGAATAAGCAGCTACAGCCATTCTTTAACCTGAGATTGCAATATGAATTACTATTTATAATGCTAGTATGAATTATTATTCATAATGCTTAATCCATATAGGAACTGAGAATACAAGAGTTCCCAGTGCAAAAGATGGAAAGATGGTAATACTGATGTAGAAGAAGGCTCTCCAGCCATGTCCAGTCTTCCACATACCATATATCTCAGCAGCAAAAGTAGAAACTGTGCTCAAGCAGCCAGGAAAGCCTAATTGAAATCCACTGACAATGATTGCACATTTCTCTGTGTTTACCTGAACAAAACAACATATTAATTAGTGCAAAACATCACCCACACAATAAAGACAAGAAAAAAACACATTTGCTTGCTCAAAGGAAACCTAAAAGATTGTGAGTAGATGCATGTATGAATGCAGATGCAGATCTGTGATTTTGTGTGAGTGTTCCTTGCCATTGTGTGGGGATCTATCAGACCCTAAATTATGACAATATAAAAAAAACTTGCAGGAAGCAACTCCCCTCTAGCAGGTGCAATTTGTTTCTAAATTGTCAGTTCAAAGTAATATTAGTGAAGAACAGCAAAATATAAGTTCAAGATTGACCATGAATTTTGCACCGGATGCTTACCGCTTTGCTTATAATAGCAGCTGCAGCCGAAATGGTTGCTGCAAGTACATTGGCCAACAGAGTTCCAATTGGTAGCCATTTGAGCATTCGCTTGCTTCCTATACCTCGTCCATTAAGCCTAGCCAAGCGCCATCGGAGCCACACACCTGGGGGACCCACCAAGAAAGCTAGCCAAGGAACAGCAGAATTACTGACTCTGTTCAACTTAACCCTAAAGAATTCTCCACTCAGAGTCCATAACAAGCACCATATCAGTAGAACAGCGGCCATCACAACCACATGTTTATTGCGGTTATTCACCCTCCATTTTTCCAGATTGGTATTTCTCTTGTCACACCAAGCAATAATGCCTCTGCGGAGTCCTCCAGCACATCCAACCCCAACAATGATACTATAGTTGACAAGGAAAATCCCTATAGATGGGTAGGAAGATAAGAAAAAAAACTGTGCAAGCAAGTGACAACCAATAAATCCTCCGCAAATTATAAGCTAACCTGTCTTCAAACTATGTTATCTTACCAAGTATCAGGCCAGCAACAGTATGCACCCAATGGCCCTTGGAAGACGACTCAAGCATCTTCTGGTTCCATCCACTGAGTGTGGTGAGACTGCCCAAGTACCCTGTACTTAATCCTACCAGCAAATGTTCAGATACGTGAAGGATGTCAGCCTTGAAGACAAATCCAATCCACCCCATCAGGAAGGAACCTATCTGTTAGAAAGCACATTCTGAATTGCATCAGTGAACGGAGAAACAAACTTTACTTTATCAAACATGAAGAAAGAAAAGAGAAAAAACCATATTGGAGGGAAGATCAAGGTACAACGGGCTATCCCCTGTGAGACGCAAGAGGTCAGGACCAAAGAGCTTCTGCAGTAAGTATCTTGTATATACCTATATGATGAAGGGACATTCACTTAATTCTTGTTGCACTGACAGAAATTTAAACAAAGAAGAAAGCAGGTACTTATTTTGATAGATACAGTTTGTTAACATTGTCAATCATTCTTCAAAACTGATAACAGAAGTGATTCCTGTGGCAACAGGATGAAAGTTTTCCCCTAAACAATCATGGTAGCACACTTGGATGCATATTCTAACTAATTAACTCCCAGTGAGCTGCTTCAGTAGCCTAATTTGTTAAAAGAACAGGAGGCCTAATTTATTCATTTTGGCTATATTATATATGATCAATGCTGACTAGCTTTACACTAATCATTTCTCTTCTCCCAGTAATTATGTGGTTCTTAAATGGAGTAATAGGTACTATAGTAACTCTAAACAGTCCAGGACAAGAGAACATAGAAGAGATAAGAGAATGCTAAAAGCTTACTCCTGTGTCATAATAATATTTTTCATCATCTAGTGGATAGTAGCAAAGTCCAATTTTGTTTCACTCCATTCAATGCTATTACAAGATTAACAAATTATTAAAAAAAATGGAATATGTGAAATCGTTATTTAGAAAAGTGAAATCTGTCAAACCAATCTATTGTAGAGAAGAACAAAATATGTGACACGGACGCCTTTCAAATCACATCAGACAGCACCTATTCTAATGTTGCCAGAAAAGTATCACATGCTCATAAATATGTTTAACTTTTATCCACAGGAGAAAGAAGTCAGACAAATATTCTTTTCCATTGTTTAACAATCAAATATAACTTCAAGAAACAAGAAAATTGAAAAGTTAAATGGCCAAAATTTTCTTTAGAAGGTCTAAAGTTTTTCTTTTTTGACAGATATAGCAATAGAGAAAAATTCAAATGCAGAATCACACACTTCTATCATCACAACGGATTGCTTTTGGCTCTGTATATATGTTTTTAATCATCTCTCTCAACTCAAAACATTCTTGTATTTTTTTTCTGAATCCAAAAAAAATCTAACAAGTCAACTTAGTTTCCTAAGCTCTTCATTTTGAGGTTCCTGGGTAATTGTTTTGAGTTTGAATCTTGTTATCCCAAATGAGTCCTTGATGTCCAAGCAAACGTAAGGAATTCCTTTCCCATAATAAAAAAAGTGAATCCACTTCCGTATAAATTGACTACAGGCCGAGGAGATTAACTTAATAATGAAGTCCCCTAGATTAATCCAACCAAAGAAAACTGGTCTAGGAAGGAAGTTGCACAGAAAAACACAAGTTCATGCTGAGATTTAGAGATACTACAGCTCATCAAGCATAAACTACTTTATCCTAACAATTTCTCACCAATAAATATGACAGCCAATTCCTTTGCACAACCTTTCTAGAATGATTGATGCAGTATCTTTCTTTTTCATTTGGATTTGAACAGCATATGCAAATCTTTTCTATTTTAGTTCCCATTAACTTTGTTAGAAAGAAATTCTTTTGCACTGTTTTCTATATTCAAACTACAAAATATCAGTCTAATTTAACAAAAAAAAAGCGAGGATTTATCATATGCTAAATCTTTACAGTCCTCAACTGGCTTAATCATTGCTACAAAAAGAGAAATTTTTTTGAAATGAATAATGTATTTGTAGCCAAGAAATCTCACTAAACAAATAATGGAATAATAAAAAAAGGAGATACAATAATCACAGAATAAGTGCAGACAAGGATTATAGTAGATAATGGAACTATAACAAAATCTTAGCCTCAGTTACTAAACTCTGCTATACACTCTTTGTAGACATTGGAAAAGAAGTTCAAAGTTTTACCCCAAGAATTCCAAAGACAGCCAAGTGACTCAAGTAAGAAATATAGTCCAGCCAAAATGGAAGCTTGTATTGCTTATCCTGCAAGAAAACATACAATATCAAGAAAGTAATTTTCTTCCTTCTAAATTAAAATTTAATCATATGTGAAGCTCACCTTTGGTGATGCAATACCTGTCATATGACTCTTTCCCTTTCCAGACAAGATGGAATCAGTTGGAAGAGGAGACACAATTTCCTCAGTTAATGGAGTCACAACTGATGGCAAGTTTGCTTCATATGACCAGGAATTAAATGATAGTATTAGAGAATCATCAGCAAATTTCACAACTCCGTCCTCATGTTCTTTATCATCCAGTCGACTCCCTCTGCATCCTACTTGTGCAAGTGAACTATCTATCCTATCTGTTAGTTCCTGTGGAAGTGCCAGATTATCAATAGTTCCATGATCACTAGAAAAACTAATTGAACACCTCTGCCAAGATTCCCTACTACTCATTCTGCTTAGTGAACCTTGTCTGAGACCATTTCCAGCCATCTCAACACCGACTGCTTGATCGTCACCAGCTGCTGCTGGTCTAGTGGTGTCAGTTGGAATTCCTTCAACTATGAGGTTGGGCCTGATAGATCCAAGATGCCAGTAACTTGTGCCAGCGATCCTGCCCAACGATGCTGTCCTCGAGAAAATCCTTTGACTAGGTGAATCTAAGCTCAGGCGGATACCAAGTGATCTTGCGATCGGGCTGTTACTCTCATTAACAGCATTCCTTTGTGATGACCCAGGCATCCTGTTATGCTCCTGTTCCAAGCCTGCAAAAACACTTCTTTTGCTGCAAAAGAAAAAGATATATGTTGAGGCATCCGGTTGGAGATCATAGTGGGAAGGTAAAAAGCACACCAAAAGTGTGGAGGGAAACTTTGTTAGTTGTCATAGCCATACAAGAAGTGTGGAAGGAAATGGAATTTGTTACTGTTGCAGACTGTGGAACTCATGTGATGCCATCAGACAATGACATGGGAAACCGAAGCATAAAATACTAATATAAAACTAAACCATGAAATGGTTGCAGACACATGAAGACAAAGTTTACATGGCGGTAAAATTAAAATGGGTCAATTGAAGACTGATCTACAGCTCTGTGATCGGAAGCACACAGAGGATACAAACAAAATCATCTTGTTGACAGGATAAAATTCCTAAAACAAACAAAACTGTGATTCTTTTCTGATCAGAAAAGATCAGTAAGAGATATACGAAGGCGAAGCGAGTAAAAGGCATCAATCAAACTACGCATACATTGAGGTCAAATATGCAGCAATCAAGGTGCAAAAAACATATTGAGGTTAACAATCGCTTGCACATCGATTCCGTGGAATCTTGGCGTCAGTGGATTAAAATAATAGCCCGAAGGAATCATGGCAATAGAATTGAAAGCAACAGAACACGCATAGGGCAGTGTAGGAGACTTGCAACAATTTGAGGGCCCATCGACTGCTTCAAATATTTGAAATAGGACGAAGAAATAAATGGAAAAACATATAAAAGAGACTTAAATTAGATGAGTCGGTGATTCGCAACGTCATTCGTGCATACAAGCACAAATTTGTGGGCTAATTTACAACCAATAGATCACATGAACTAGAAAGTTTCTGATCGATCTTCTTTAAGGGGAACAATACCAAATAAACAAGAGCCGTAATTTCTTTCCTTTTCATTTGTTTTAAAGGGAAGATTACCACGAGCTACCTCAGATCCAAAAAGGCGAAAGCACGAATTCATTTCAAATCAGAAAAAGATGGTTTATTTACGAGAGATATAAGAAAGAAACCAACAGAAAGAACACGCACCCGGAGGAGGCGGAAGAGGCTGCAGTAATCGATCGGATCACCGGGACAACACACGAACGAGCGGGAGGGAGAAGAAAGGCCGCGGCGGGAATACACCGCAAGCGACCACCGGCGTGGGAGAGTCGGCGACGTCGGTCTCCGGCCTCACTGCCCGGCGGACGTATCAAATCAACGTCGAGAGAGGAACCGCAGCGACGAGGGTTTTTTTGTAGGCACGCGTACGTGTGGAGGAGGCAGTCGTGGATGGGTGAGATGCCATGTTAGTAAACGGGTCGGGTCATTTCAACTACACCTGCCCGATCCGTTTAAATTTAACAAAGAATCCATTGATCGAACCCAATTAAATCCTATTAAAATATGGTTAGAAAAATTGTTATGAGTCGAGCACTAATTCATTGAACGAACTTAATCTATGTAATTTAAATGTGGATGATACTTGAAGCAAGCTAGGCATTGCGGGAGGATAATGAGGTTTTTGACATTCCATTATATATAAAATTAATTTATCTTTATAATTGAATAATATATATTATATAACTAATTAAATTTTGATAATAAATATTACCTAATAGAAAAGAAGTTTATATTATAATAGAATTTTTTATGAATATTTTAATCGGAGGAATTAAACGAACATATCTCATAGAAGACGTAATAAAGAGACTCTCTATTCTTGAGAAGAAGAGTTTAGTATGATGTTTTTGTATGTCACATTGAGATCTTTTCAGATGATATCAAAAGGTACTTATTGTAAAATCAATCTAATATTATTTGATTTCAATCTTAATATAAAAATTTTTCTGTATTCTTACGGCATGGAATGAAATATCTTTAAACTGAATAAATCATATTATTAAAATTGTGATTCCTCTTATTCCTCATGGTGATTGTTGGGTATGGAGATATGATACCAGAAGGTATGCCTCTTCTAAAATTGCCTACAGATATCTTTCTGCTGATGACCAGGCTGGGGAATACTGGGAAGGTTGACAAAGTGTTTTGGTCTTTGCTTGTTATCCCTAGAGCGACGATGATGTACTGGAAACTAGAGACTTAAATTAGATGAGTCTGTGAAATCAGCCTGAGCTCATTTGCCTGACTCGGAACGGGCAAGTCGGGGTTGGGTGGGTCGAACCTAACCAGGTCAAACACAATAACACCATTCCACCTCCTTCGTTCCCTCGCTCGGGTGACAAGCCTGCGTTACGAGGCTCGACAGGCATATGTATCTCGAGAAAATCTCTCTTTGAGGAAAATCTTCTATTCTGTTGAGGGAAATCTTTTCTTTAATCTGTATAAATATGAGAGGGAACATGTTAATGAATTGAAAGATTTTTATTTCTTCAATAAAGTTTCTTTTCTTCTTCAATAAAATTTCTTCAGTAATTGTTCTTATCTTCTATTCTTTTCATCACATACAATAGTACTTCAGCAAAGCGGAGCTTTCTGTCAAAATATGTTGTGTAGGCACTCTATCATTTAATAGTCCAATGCTCGGGATCCTCGAATGCATCTTTGATATAAGAAGATCATATCTCTTAAGGGCTCTGCACTGATTTAATCACCGGAGGAGAAGCCCAAGTAGAATTCTCCGGCATTGTTAGAGTCCATGAAGTGATTAATGATACAGCCCATACCAATAGTTTGAACTTGAAAGCCACCATTACAAATATTTTACAGGTAATATGGAGAGCTAAAAATGATGCTAAATTTAAATTCAATGGGATGAGGCCGAATCCTCGCAAGATTTTGTCAAGAGCAGTTAGTGTTATTATGGAAGGTCATTAAATGATACGGCCCATAATAAAATTTTGATCTTAGAAAGTCACCATTGCAAATATTTTTGTGGGTAATATGGAAAGCTCGAAATGATGCCGAATCCTTATAGATTTTAATCACACCACATGTTCTAATGGATTTGAGAGAAGTGTGTAAGTGACACGGAGAAAACCAGAGAAGGGTTGACACAAGCTCAATACTGATGGCTTTGGCCATCATGAGCAGGACGGTGATATATGCTTTTTATTCTAAGAATTGATGAGGGGTTTACTGTTTTTGCAAGATGCAGAAGTTCCATGGATAGATCTATCTTATATAATGAAGATGTCGCGATTAGAGAAGGGCTTTTGGCAGCAAGAAATAAGCCATTCATCTCCATCTTCATCATCATCAATCAGATTGCAAGATCAGCAAAGAGAGAAGAAATGAAGTTGTAACATAGCTTGTGATTTCTGACTCTCTTCATATTAGCTATCTGCTTTTGTCAGACGACAGATCGTGGTCTCTTTGATCTGGCTTGACTGGGTTGATGAATGAATGGTAGCCCACCTGAAGGAAGCTACTGATTCCTTATCCTTCATCGTCAAGAACAGTAGTCTACTGTTTGACAAAGATGAGCTTACAGTAGCCATGCTAATTGCAGGAATAAGTGCAACAAAGGTGTCTTAACATGAGTATATGTCCGATGGCCACCATTTCCTAGTTGTCTCCTCCGACGACCACCAACCAGGTCTCGGTTGCTACATTCTAGTATTCTTTCCTTCACAATGCCTGCAATAATGTAGCTATGTACACATCACACAAGTATTTCATCTGATCCGAGGAAGGAGAAGACACTCCAGGCCTCAAGAAGCAGACTTGGAAGCAAGATCACCACTACTCCCGATGGCAGATACAAGTAATGCAAGTAGGGCGTGCAACAGAAGCAGCAAGAGTAAGAGACAAGGTCAAAGGAACGCCAAGAACTCGCTCTCCTGGGGGTTCCTGGAGACGTTGGCTTTCGTGTAAAGATCAGAATGATGTACAAGGGAAGAAGAAACCCAACGAGACTCCATGCTGTGTGTCTTTCTGTATGGGGAACAGCCCAAGTGTTGTCAAGCCAGAGATCACCACACCTGAGTCTTCTAAGAGACTGGCCGCGACCGGCAGTCTTACTTAATACTCCAAGCAGATCCTTCAGGTCTCCTTCCAAATATATTAGTGGAGCTATTTCCACCTCCTTCACCTCTTCATTCATCTGCTTCCATCACTGCCTCTGTTACATCGTCTTCTTCTTGTCTGGGAGGATCTTTCAAAGGAATGCACCTGAGGAAGTTCTCTGGGTGCCATGAGTGTCATGTGATGGCTGACACCAAGCAATTAGCCATGCAAGCAATTATCCATCTTCATCATGAACAACTTGGTTTCTGGTTCTCAATCTGAGAAACTTGTCATGTTTTCAGCTACTTCATTATCATTTACAAGATATACTCATCTGAATCTTCTGTTCTCTGCAGTAATTTCCGACTTGGGTCCTGAAGACACAAGCAGAACCATAATTGAAATCATTTTCCAGTCAAGTTGGCTCGAGAATCAATCTCCAGTCTGCAAGATAGACAGGATACTGAAGGTCCACAACACCCAGAAGGCCGTCACAAGGTTCGAAGACTAGAGACATTCCATAAAGATGAAAGCCAACAAGCTCGGGAAGAAGCAACCAAGGTGTGTTGCAGACGGGAATGAACTCCTAAGATTCATTCTACTCCACCACTCGTGCGTGCTCCATTCTGCCATTGTGTGTCTGAAAGAGTTAGGCATTGAAGAAGAAGAGAGGGGAGGGGCTATGAGCACCCTATCACCAGCCATGCTTTGCAATGACCACTGAAATCTGAGATCGGAAGTAGTGCAGGTTGAGGTCAGATTCAAGTAGCTAACTTTTATTGTTGGAACAACAAGTATTTGAGGCTATTACATATTTTTGATTTAAGCTTAAACCAATCCAAAGAGAAGAAAAGACTTCACAAGTGAAAACAAAAGAGATGTCGAGAATTAAAAATAATCAAAATGATAATTGTTCCTTTGAGTAAAATACAACAAAGTACCAATTTTCCCAGTATTTCCTTATACTTTATAATAATGTCTATTTTTCAGCAAAACTTCTTTGCTTAATCATTTCTTGAACAATGGGATTGAATTTGTCAAATTATGAAAGAGACATTCAATTCTACTCCTATGGATCTTATAGCAGCTTAAAATTTCTTTTAACTCGGAGTCCATATTTGTCTTAGAAATAATAGAGAAGATAAGTTTCTTTATATTTATTTGGGGAGGAAGAGGATAAGGTATTTAACAAAAATAATCAAGATTAACATGACACACATATATTTATTTTTGCTAGTAAAGTCAAATTAGAATTGGCCTAGATTATGACACATAAGCTATTATAACGTGATGCATAATTATAGTAATAATAATTATAATTATCATCATCAAATTATGTTGGTGCATTCATTCACCAATAATATTCTTGTACAATATATATATATATATATATATATATATATATATATATATATATATAT